TAATGTTGTCTTACATATTTTGAGATTTTGTGAATAGGCATTTATTAATGTAGAATTTTATATCTTCTGGTGGAATGACACTTTTGTTCCCCCTGAATGTCTCCTTGTCCTGAGTGCCTCTTGAAGCCTGTTTGATAGGAGGAGACATAGGTGCATGGTTATCCTTCTGTATATGTCTGCATGGTGTTCCTTTTTCTAGTCTTTGACTTTCAACCTTTCTGTGTTCTTTTATTTCAGGTACGTCTTTTGTAAGCAGTGTAAATTTGGGTTTTATTTATTAATCTATCTGCTGTCATCCTTTTAATTCAAATAATACATTTATATTTAGGGTAGTATCTTAAACTGCTGAAGTTTGATCTACCATCCTCTTATTTGTCCTACTTGTTCTATTTCTTTTTTCTCCCTTTTCTTGACTTCTTTAGGGATAGGCAAGTGTTTTTATTATTTCATCCTCTTCCCATTATCTTTTTAGTTAAACATTTTGACTTGTCTTTTGGCGATTGCCTACATGTCACAACATGTCTCCTTGGCTTGTTAGAGACTAACTTGAAAGTAGTGTAGATACTTTGGGAATATTTTGATTCTTTTTAACCTACGAACACTATTATTGTTTTTTTACACAGTCATTATCCAGCTATATTTGTTTATATGTGTATGGGTCCTTAAGATCACCCACAGGTTTGATGCTTCAGTGGGAAGAGGACTAGAACTTGGCATATAGTTGAATTCATGGCTACGAGTGACTATAAGGAGTAAACGTAGGTGTTCGTGTTTAATCTCTCTCTGCTTGGCAGAATGCCTTTACTTAAAACTTTTACTTTTTGTTTTCGGGTGTGTTGGCTCATGCCTGTAATCCTAGCACTTGGGGAGACCGAGGTGGAAGGATTGCTTGAGCCCAGGAGCTTGAGACTAGCCTGGGTAACATAGCGAGACTCCGTCTCTACAAAGAAAATTAATAAATTAGCCAAGTGTGGTGGCACATGCCTGTAGTCACCGCTACTTGGAAGGCCTGAGGCCAGAAGGTCGAGGCTGCGGTGAACCATGAGTGTGCCACTGCACTCCAGCTTGGGTGACAGAGTGAGACTCCTACTCAAAAACAACAATAGCAACAACTTTTATTTTTCAATTATTGATTTAATATGCTCAGTTGTGGCCCATTTTCATTTTTGAATTGCACATTTTTTAGAAACGTTCCCTGTCTGTATATCCCTGTTTATATCCTTGTTGAGAGACTAAAATGAGTGATAAAGCATGACTTCAGGACTTATTTTCTGTGCATGATTTATGATCTCACTTAAGAAGCAATTAAACAAGAGATTCTGAACGTGTTTTTAGAAATGATTACATCATAGGTGCATATGAGTTTACTTACTATTTGAGTATGTTAAGTTGTGCTGTGTGCATTACAGAATCAGTCTTCGTACTTTACTAGCAATTTCTCAACTTTTGAAAATTTCATGCATCTTGATTCTCATACCTTTGTTTCTTCTATGGTGAGTTACTGCTGTTTTCTTGCTGTGCTCCTAGGTGTAGAGCTATTGCCTAGCTTAAGTTCTGTAGTTTGTATTGGAGATTCTAGAGGTTTTGTTGTTTTATGCATATGCACTTATATTATATTGTGCATACTGTTTGAAAAGCATACTGCCTCTCTTTTCCAAATCCTTTCGTCAAGTGAAAATAATTGGTCTCATGTATTGTCAGATTTTATGCTTATATGGTATAACAACTGTGGCAGGAAAGTTATTAGGCTGCGTTCCCTATTTCAGTTTTTCTATTTCAGTACTGTAAGAGTGAAGCGTTTGGTCCAAATTAGAAAATTGTCAATTATTGCCAGATACTGTCTGGCGTGGAAGTATTTCAGTTACTTCAATTTATGTTAGACATTTTGGGAACAGCTTAGACTCTTTCAGGCCACTGAGGTACTGTTCAACCCAACACAGCACTGTATAGATGCTCCTTGACTTATGATGGGGTTGTGGCCCAATAAACTTGGGAGTCAAAAATGTGTGGCTGACCGGTTTGGGGAGCCAGCCCCCAAAGAGAGATTTAGGGGGTCCCTTGGAAGGTGTGATGGCGTCAGCGTTTCTATAAGAATAGATATTAAAAGAAAGAAAGAAGGAGGGATAGATATAAAGAGAAAGAAAGAAAGTGGACATCTGTTCAACGAATTGACCAGAAGCCGTTTATTGGCGGTTTACAGCTTGTATTTATCCCAAATTTTACACAGTCTTACAAATCTTCCACGTGAACATAAGCCAGGTGCAGGAGGGGCGCCCCCCCCACCAGGTGTTTCCTTGGGCATGAGGAAGAACAATCTCAATTAAATCAAAACCTTTACATGGACACAAAGCCAGGTGAATGAGGGGCATCCCTCACCCACCAGGTGTTTCCTGGAGTAAGAGGAAGGGCAATCCCAATTAAATCACAAGACATTTACATGAACATAGCCAGGTGAATGAGGGGCGTTTCCCCACCCACCAGGTGTTTCCCCAAGCATGAGGAATGAGAATCCCAAAACTATTTCACTGTTCCTCATGCTTGGTTAATATTCCTCAAAAGCAGTACAACAATTCTAATATCATAATATTCTAATAATCAATAACTTTTAAAACCTATGCATACGCAACACCTAATAACCAACTTGAATCCCAATTCCTCTCTATTTTATGCTAATTCTACCTACACTATAGAAACTCTTAATTATAGCCCAAATCAATACCTAAGGAATGTGGCCCAGCCCAAAGCTCGTGCTGGGCCTTTAGGAATGTGGCCCAGCTCAAAGCTTGTGCTGGGCCATTTCTAGTAGCTCTAGCTATTTATCTGTATTATTAAGGTTGAAACAGCACTTTGTATGTATATGCTAATTCTACAAATATACTATTAAATCTTTAAAGAAGCTTGTACCGTATTAAAGGCTCCCAAATGTGACCTGAGTTTGAATTATGTTAAGTTTAAAGCCGAAACCGCAGTCTGTGAGAAACGGGAACAATGGACTCCTAAAGTAAGCCATGCCTGTCGTACTCTCAGAACTTCATGCTTAGATCATCAAAGTCCCTGCTAGTGGAACGTGCCAAAACAGCAAAGAAGGGAAGAGGCAATGGGCCTTCAGCTCCTGAACTCGTCCTAGCGGTCTCAGGGTCTGCAGCCTGCCTGGATCCTAACGCTCAGGCAAGCCTCCACGGCCGGCTCCCAACAGACCGGGAGCTGTAGCTTTCTGTCACTGCCCAGCACTGCATGAAAAGTGCAGTTTCTACTGAATGCATGGGACTTTTGCGCCATTGTAAAGTTAAAACTTGTGAGTCGAGTGATCGCAAGTCATGGACTGTCTATGTAACTATTAAAAAGAGTACTTCTGCATCATTTAACTAATGAGTATGTTAAGTAGTAAATCAACCTAGCTTAAATTGTCTTAGTTCATTTGTGCTGTTGTAACGAAACCACAGACTGGGCAACTTATAAAGAACAGAAATTTATTTCTCCCAGTCCTGTAGGCTGGGAAGTCCAAGATCAAAGGTCTAGTGGGTTAGGGCCCAGACTCTGCGTCCAGGATGGTTCCTTGACTGCTGTGTCTTCCAAAGGGAAGAACACTGTGTCTGCATATGGCAGAAAGCAGAAGTGAGTGCACCCTCTTTCATGAGCCCTTTTTAGAGCTGTGCCCATCCATTCATGATCTAGATACCTCCCATTAGATCTCACCTCCCAGCATGAGTTTTGGAGGGGACAGAAACTTTCAGTCCATGGCAAACATAACCATGTCAAGAACTGAGAAGGATCTGGGACTTTACCCAACTTTTTACCCAATTTACAAGCTGGTGGATTTCATGAGTGCTGACAAAAGAGTCAAGGAGAGAGTATTGCAGCAACAGAAGCAACTAAGTGGCAGCAGGTGGGAAAAACAGAGGACTTGGTCGTTAATTTTTCAGGTCAGCACAGTCTCTTTTAAGTTGTTTTGGGTCTTTCCAAATTTGACTTTTTTGACCTCCTTCTTGGCTTTTTTATTGTGTTATTACTCTGATTCTGTTCCTCTGTCTCTTCCTATTAATTCTCTCAGATCCTTTTTTTTTTTGAGTTGGAGTCTCACTCTGTCACCCAGACTGGAGTGCAGTGGCTGCTCCCGGCCACTGCAGCCTCGACCTGCTGGGCTCCGGCAATCCTTCCGCCTCTGCTTTCCGAGTAGCCAGAATTACAGGCATGCGCTACCACGCCCGGCTGATTTTTTGATTTATTGTAGAGATGAGGTCTCGCCAAGTTGCCCAGGTGGGTCTTGAACCCGTGGGCTCAGGCAATCCACTCACCTCAGCCTCCCAAAGGCGCGGGATTACAGGCTGATCCACCGAGCCCGGCTCAGATCCTTTTTAAACTGTCATTTTTTTCTATGCTCTCCAAGTGATGGACTTTCCTAAAATTGAGGCTTTACCCTTCTCCTTCATCTCTGATTCCTTGCTAGTCTTCCTTTTAGACTGTGTCTATTCCTGTAAGGCCAGACACCATGTGTAGGCTTATAGCTCTGAATTTTGCTTTTCTCTAGCATTCCAAAACGACATTTAAACTGTTGACTGAATATTTCCTTTTAGATGTTCTCCCAATACCTTACACATATTGTAATTCTAGTTTGAATGTATTTACCAAAAAAGCATGGGCAAAAATGTCATGTTATTATTTAATGTTTTATTCCTTTGGAAGAAAGTTCCCAGATTATTTTGTTGAAACTTTATGGTGTTTTTAATGGATGTTGTTTGTAAGTTCTGTTTGTCTTCTCATATTTCATGTCAGTTTGTCATATTTTTACTTCCAAAGCTAAGCAAGTGGGTGTTTGCCTTTCTCCTTCAGATTCTTCCATCTCCTTCCCCACCCATCTCCTGCCCTGCCTGTACCTTCAGACACCCCCAACACAAAATACTTTAAATGTTATAGTATGCATGGGGCTTGGGTTTTTTTTATTACTGTTTTTGTTGGTGATGGTTCAGTTTGTAAATCTTGTATCATTTTCTTCTTTGCAGGTCTTCATGCCTTGCAGAGAATCCTGAGGAAGCAGCCAAACCTCCCTGATAGGCAAGTGGCTGGGTTGGTGAAGATTACTCTGGATGATTTTTTGCAGGGAATGAATGACATCAGGCCCAGTGCCATGAGGGAGGTAGCGATTGATGTCCCAAATGTAAGTTGTGTGCACCTCACACTCGCCACACTCTTGGATTAAACTGTGAAAGTAGTGGAGACTCCAGGGAGACTGACTTCTGAAACTAAAGTTTTAAAAAATATATTTCTAATTGAAATTTTTATTGAGATAGTTATGGATTCAGTGTGGTAGTAATTGAATAGTAGCGTCGAAGTAATACAGGGAGAGCCTGTGTATCCTTTACCTAATTTTCTCCAGTGGCATCAACTTGCAAAACTGTAGTTCAGTACCACAAGCAGGATATGCAAGTTGGTATAACTTATTGAACTTACTCAGTTTTATCCAGTTTTACGCATACCCATTTGTCTGTGTGTGTGCATTTAGTTCTGTGAAGTTTCGTTTCATGTAAAGGTTTGTGTGTCTGTCGCCGTAGTCAAGATACTGAGCGGTTCATTGCCACAAAGATCCCTCATGTTGTCTTTTCATAACCATACCCACCATGTTTTTGTTCTCGTTTCTAAAATTTCATTTTTTCAGAAAGGTTGCATAAATGGAATCATACAATATGCAACTTTTTGGGATTAGCTATTTCCACTTAGTATATTTCCCAGAAGATTCACTTAAGTTGTGTATCAATAGTTTGTCCCTTTCTGTTTCTGAGTAGTATTTCAGGCTATGAAAGTACTGTGGTTTCTTTAACTAGTCACTTCTTGAAGGACATCTGAGCTGTAACTAGTTTTTTACTATTACAGGCAAAGCTCCTGTGAACATTTGTGTTCACAGAATTGAATTAGTGTAAGTTTTCATTTCTCTGGAATAAATGCCCAAGAGTGCAATTGCTGGGTTGTATACAAATTGCAGAAAGTTTAGTTTTGTAAGAAAATATCAATTAGGTTAATTTTAAAACAAAAATATTTTCTGGTTATAAACTAATGCTGCCTAATGTTTCCTTGAGTTCTTTTACATACAGTTCATTAATGGCAGTCTTTGCAAAGTTCCCTGTCAAATCACAAGGATAGTGGAAGCTAACTTTTATGTGTGGATTATTTCTTATGTCCCCTGTGACCAAAGTGGGCCTGGTGTTCCAGAAAAAATGGTTTTATAGTTTTCTTTAAATGCATTAATATTTTTAGAAGGTAAACATTGAAAAAAAGCATTTACGGCATGTTCTCTGTTATATTGTGGCAGAGGAAGGGCCATTGTGATTGGCTTGCACATAAGAGATTGCTGTCTGTCCCGTAGGAGAACTTTGATGGAAGAATGGATGTCTATGACTCTTTTCCTCTGCCTCTAAAATGTTGCCTACTTTTTCTGTCTTGAGGTAGTCCTATTGCTTCTCAGATACCTCAGTGACCTAGAGATAGGAACATCCCCTAAGAACTTACTGCTAGTTTAGGCTACGAATGTGGATTTGAATTCTTTTTGCAACATTTTCAAATTCGCTATTGAAATTATCATTAAATTTTTTTCAAAAAAGTTCTATAGCAGAGCTTGCTCATTTAATGTAAGTAATTTGACAAGTGGAATAAGTAATAACCAATGATTGATGTTGGATTAATAGGAATTTTTCATTTCTCTAGAATTTATGGTCTAAAGTTTGGGCTGATTGATATGATTACTTTTATTTGCAACATTTATTTGTCTTTTGTTGGCTACTGATGGCTCAGGCGGATGCCCAGTCATCAAATGCCATATGAGAAAGTTTCAGGTGGTAGTTATAAACCAGCTACACCAATCAAAGACACTTTAGAGAGTAGAACATTTAGTTACTAAAGAACATACAGTAAGGTTTTAAACCTAAACTTACTGCCAGTGAGGAATGTGTTTAAACAGTGTCTACTCTTGGATTGCTAAACTGACTTATTCATCATAGGAACTGGTACTACAACTCCACTTGTAATTGTTCTAATGAAAGATTTCTTCCTTTATTTTCCTTTAATACAGTATTTACAATCCATGGACTTGTGCCATTTTCCATTTGGCCCTTTATTATTTGGCCTAAGGCCATGGTGTAGTGTGATGTTACTCATGAGCTCTGGAGTGATTAACATTGGTGAAAGTACTTTCTTACACTGCTTTTTATGCTGCTTCAGATTGTAAAAATTTTCCTGAGAAGTCAACATTTTTGTAATTGGATTCCTAAAATTTAGTTTTCTGGTTTCTGGGTATTATGTCTACAGAAATATTATAAAGTTATTTCTGCCGAAGTCTTAATATTTATTTTGCTTTAGAAAACTTGTTTCAAGTGACTAGTTAATTATGAGCATTTCTAAAATAGTAAATTGGACGTTCACCATCTTTTGAGAAAAGATTTTAGAGTATAAAATTAAAACTTCTAAATCACACTTGCCTAGTTATATTTAAGTTTGGAAGAAAAGTGCTAGGATGGAAGTGCTGCCAATTATAATTTAATGTAATACATCATTAATTTTAGGTGATCACAAGTGTTGGCCCTTACCTAAAATGTAATATTTCCCTTTTGTGGAGTTTCTGAATTGGTGATGATAGTGACATTAAAGCCAAATGCATTTCCTTTATTGCATGAGCCCTTAGAATTGATAAACATGTGAATAGTCATTGTAAGATTCCAATTTTCTTATTCAGTGATAATGGCTGTTAATGTTTTGTTATAGTTCCTAGAAGATTTTTTTCTGCACATAAAGGTATTTTAATGTAGTTAATATTAGGACATATATAATTTTATATTCTGCTTTTTTTCACTTAAAATTATATAGTAAACATTTTATAATTGCAATATCCTTCTTTTACTGTGAAGTATTTAGACTTTTGTTTGCTTTTCATATTACCATTACAAAGATATTTGTGTACAAATCTTTGCATTTATGATTTCTAGAAATGTAATTACCAGACTAGAATATATGATTTTTAAAACTTATGACAAATAACAAGTTATTTATAATAATGTGATAAAAATTTAATATTACAAAAAGCTTAGGCAGAAACTTTTTATTTTTACTTTTTTTTCTCTTTTTACTTTTCACTAGAGTTTATTTTCTTTACTGTGAGAAATGAAGATGAATAATCTTTAAATAAATACAGGTTTACAAGAAAAGAAAAAGAAAATCAATTACATATCTTCTTATAAAAATGTTGAATGTTCAGATGAAGGGTGTAGCTGGGCCTTTACTTTGAATTTTACATTACATGCAAGCAGAGGTTCCTGCCTTTTGTTTTTATCCTTGGTACTTAGCATGTGAATAACACAGAGGATATGTCCAGCCAATATTTGTTGAATGAATGAATAAATGAATGAATAACTGTAATTTTCATTAAAGAAAACCTACAGTAAATGGTGAATTGCAGATGTATGTAAAAATGATGTCATTCTTCTTTACAGAGTGCAATAAAGTCTATTATTACTATCATGAAACATTCTACAGATTTTTCATATTTTATAAAGCATCTGATTTCTTTAGTGTACTTTACTACTTGTTCGGCGAATTTGACATTTTTAGAATAAAAATACTTGTAATAGTGCTAAGCTGTCTACTCTGGAAGGATATAGAGAAGTCCTTCATGTTTTCTGCAGAAAAATGTTACTTCTTTGATCTACTATTAAAAATGATCATCTTATTAAGGTACACAAAGAAAAATACAGTGCTTCCAATGTTTGTGTTTATATATCATCTTTGGAATAAATCACTGCATATATATCATAACAGTTATCAGTGATAACTGACATTCGTTTTGTTTTTTTTGAGTTGGAGTCTCACTCTGTCGCCCAGACTGGAGTGCAGTAGCATGCTCCCGGCCACCGCAGCCTCGACCTGCTGGGCTCTGGCGATCCTTCCACCTCAGCCTTCCAAGTAGCTGGAACTACAGGCGTGTGCTATCACTACCTGGCTAATTAAAAAAAAAATTTATTGTAGAGATAAGGTCTTGCCAAGTAGCCCGAGTGGGTCTCAAACCCGCAGGCTCAGGCAGTCCACTCACCTCGGTCTCTCAAAGCGCTGGGATTACATGCTGAGCCACTGAGCCCGGGTGATAACTGATATTCTTAACCAAATATATACAGACCGATTGCCATCTAGTTTAATTCACTTATACATTTAAATTTCCTTTCCTCTATGTTGTCTCATGGAGAGTTTTAGATTGTTTCTTATTATGTGGAAATAGTTCATCTTACTCCTTTTGATCTTGCCTTTGGCTTCCAGCTTTCAGAATTGGGGCTTTTGGTTCACAGCAAGCTAAAAGCCATTGGACTCTACTTTCATGTGAACCCAGTTTTGGAAGTGACCGCTAGCCAGAGCCTCAGGACTAACTGTATGACTCCCAGCCCCTTGGTAGACTTGGGTCCAGGGTAAACTGGGAGGCCATGAGATTGAGTGTATACCAGATGTCATAAGTTAAATCAGCATTCCTCATTTACTCCCATTTTAACATGTAGCAGTTTTCTTAATTATATGAGTAATCAAAAGGCTATCTTTCACTAATTACATATTTAAATGTCCTGTTGATTTTCATCTGGCATCTTTTCAGACAAGCCTAGAATATCAGAATGTGACAGTCAGTTGAATTTTGTAGGATGAGCTCATTAGCAGTACGTTTCTGGTGCACAGATTTGAGTGGAATAGTTTAATTGACCATAATTATATTTCGTTATTCATATGCCCTCAGGATAATTTGAAGTAATTTATTTTAGTTTGTATCCCTTAAGTACAGTACTGCATTCTATATTTTCTTTATTTTTTTACGGACTCAAAGGATTGAAGGTTTCTGTGATGCTTTACTAAATAAAAGGTTATTTTTTTTGGAATAGATAATCTAATGTGTGGAAATTCTATTAATTCCATATTGGTTCTTGGCTGGGCTTTTGAATTTGGTTTCTTTTGATTTTGCTTCTTGTTGTCTAGACAGAAAAGTGTCTTCTATCACTCCCAAGATCCTAGTCTTTCTTGCCAGCTTCTCTTGTGCATTTTTATAGTTTTAAGTAATAACAATTGAGCAGGAAAGTACATTTGGGAAAGTAGATTACTTCTAACCAGGAAATACTGAGTGCCAAAATCAAGATTGTAGTT